TCTTTTGTCTTTCAGCCTCAAGGGCCTCCTTCACGGCTTCGATCTCAGTATGATCGGATTGACACCTTTTAGCATCACGATCATACTCGCATAATGTCGTCAGTGCGGTACTTAGAGCCTGCATTCATAAATCTCACTATCAGAACCGATATAATGTAAGGGGAACGGAAGAAAGCAGTCAGAGACATTTACCCTAGCCTGGTCGTTAGCAAAGCACGCGATTGCCTCGCTGCGAATGAAGCTCCGAGGGTCCATCGCAGGAAGATCCGGATAATCCCTCAACCGGAGAAAATAGTCGAGACAGGATTCGGGATCGCTCACCAATGGACTATTTCCTCGATAGTCATAGGAAAATCCAAACCGATGAAGCTGCCGATCGATCCGAGGTCTCTTCGACCGTTGCGAATCCTCAGGTGTGTCGTCTGCATTCTGCCCATCTTCACCAGCGGGCTCTCCCAGATCGGCCTTCTTCCGGACCTTCTCCGCCTTCCTGGCAGCTCTTTTATCAGCAGACTTCTTTGCCTTGGCCAAATCTCTCTCCCTTTTGTCGGCAGCCGCTTTGGCCTTGGCCAGATTATCTTCTGGTAGGACCTGATTCCTGTGCTCCTCCAAAGGCCCATCCGACGCAGGATTTTGGGCCTATTTAGCACCTGAAGATTCAAACATCAACTCGAGGTCGGCCGATAAGTCTTTAAGTGGGCGAGATATCATCTTATCGGTTCGATTTTGGTGTCTAAGAAGAACAACTGCAATTAAAGGGGTGTCAATCGACCTAATGCTTAGAAACTCACGAACATAAGTGAAACGATTTACACCAAACCTCTTGTCCTCTCGATCCTCTCTTCCGTGATCTCCGGCCAGGTGATTGCGCTGATCGCCGCAAACCATTCGGAAATTTTGTAAATATCGAGGGGATCGTCAACGAAGGAAAGATGTCTATTACCTGCAAAATTAAGGACACCGATCAGAAAAATTCACAACACGATCTTAGATAATTCTTTAGGTCGGACGTGTCTCTACCCATGACCTCCGCCTATTTCGTCCGAATCTCAATGTCACGGTCGATGATGGAATGCTCGTTTATCAGCACGAATAAATAACGATCCCTCCAATCATTGACCTTCGATTTTTGGCCACCTGTGACTATATTGAACCGGGTCTTCATACTCGTATAGTAGGACCCTCGGTTCCTTAATTTTTCCTTCGTCCTCCTAGTATTCGTCATTGCGTCAAACGCAGCCCGGCTGAGAGGGATATTATGCCCGGTCGACATCACTAGCATACTGACAATCAGACGGATTGTTGAGTGGGAGAATTGCGAGATCGGCATCTCTTTGTGATTGGCAAACTCCAGCAACAGTCTTGGAAGAGAGAACCAGATATGGAAATCCCTGAAGAAGCATTCGTAGATGCAGAACCATCCTTCCGGAGCATCCCATGGCCGTTCCGATGGGCTCGGTATCATAAAAATGACTTCAGAGCCGATGTCGCATTCCTTTTTCAGTGTCACCAAAGACTCCATAGTCGATTTGGCCGGCATTACTCCGAGGAGATTATCGCAGATCGGCTTTGAAGCTAGTTCACCCTTCTTCCTTTTGATCTTTATAACAGGAGGATTCAGGTCGACGATGCCAAACTGGTTTGCCTCATCGTCAGCGATAAGCATATTCAGCTCGTCCGAGATGTCCATCTCATTTGATCCACCCCTCTCGTATGATTCGTCCCGCAACTCGGGGATCAGAAACGGTTCCCTGGTCGACGCCTCTCCACTCCCTAAAACAGCCCCGACCTGATTGGCTGCTGCTCTTTGATTTTCCTCCCTGACTCGCTCCTGAAAAGCCCGGTCCAACGCAGATAAATCGCTAGCATCAGAAGACCGATCTGATTCCGACTCTTCAACGACGACCTGCTTTCCTTTTAATCGGTCTCTTATGGCCTGGTCGTCTTTCTCCATCTGAAGAAACTCTTCTAAAGAAATACCGATCTCGTCGGCTTTCTCCTTAGCCGATATGATCACTCGCGACTCTGGTCGGCTCTCACAGATCTTCATACACTTGCTCATATCTGACTATCACGACGGGTTTCCACTTAATCGGAGAAATCAAAGGCGGCGTTCGGAACGAAACGCGGCGGAGGTCTGATCGGAAAAACCTCTAGCTAAAATAAATGAAGAACAAAGAGAGAGAAGAGAGCAAACCTGATTTTGACAGAGTTTCGCTAAAAATGCAGAAGTGAAGAAATGGGAGCCGAGTTCCTCTTATTTATAGGAAGGTCTGGACGGTTACCGAGAGTCATCATGAGCTCGGCGACCTTTCATATTTCTTCTTATATATTTTTAATCGGCCTCTTCGCCTTCTCCTGCTAGGGTTTGACACGTGTCAACCCTAGTTCTGCATACGCGGATCTGGGCCTAGCCTACATCATCTTTGGACGGGAATTTTTCGCGACTAGAATCACAATCTGGCCCTCATCATCGTGCCGATCAGAAATTAGAGGTAATAATTCCATTTTTTTCTAACACTTTTCTACAGCCGACCAAAATACATATCAAGCAACACATCATGAAATTCACCAAGTAACGTTCCCTCACTTGTCGAACTGGGGGAGACTTACTGTTAGAGATGAGATTCGTACCATCTCCAACAAGCCCGATATGAATTCTGGTCGGCCCGTCTAACAAGTTTCAGGTCGGCGATATAAATGGAAATCTTCCATTTATCGAGCGACCCGGGAAAAAAGAAAACTCTTCCTCGTCGGCGAGAAGACTTTCCTTTTTTCGAACACGTTGGGAACCGACCTAGGCAGCTATAAATACAGGAAGTCCCCGACTCCTGAGATCCATCCGAAAAATCATTGATCAAGACTTAGAGCAAACTAAGCAATCAGATTGTTCTAGCTTTTGATTGACTTTCCTTAAAGAGTTTTAGGTCGGCGTTCATATACCGACGACCTAAACACCGTTGTATTCTATCAAGCTCCGGCTTCTTCTAATAAAAGATCTCTCTTTAAACCCTCAAACCCTAGTTCTTCTATAAGTCGAACTTGAGTTTTTACAATTGATATAAATCAACATATTTATTAAATCAGAAAATATTAATATGGATTGAAAATTTAAAATTTAAATAAAACAAATTAACAATCATATAATATATAAAAGTTGATGACATAGTGCAATGAAGGAGTCTACATGGGATTAAAAAACTCAATCTGATTGATTCACATCAGCAATTTTCATTAAATAAAAAAATGTTAAGTATGATGAGGACGGAAAAACTTGATTTAATTAGTCCACATCAGCTTTTAAAGCAAACCAAAAATTATTAAGTATAATTAAAACATTAAAAAGTTAATTTAACAAATTATGTCCAAAAAAGTAAATTCAATTTGACTGATCCAGATTTATATAATTATTATATCAGAAAATATTAATATGGTTTTAAAATTTAAAATTTTTTTTTAAAATTAACAATTAACAATACATATATAAAAAAGTAACCATTATCAATTATCAGTTTAAAAAATTCTACAACAACTCGATTTAACAATTAAAACAATGAAAACTGAATAAAAATATAACATAAAACTCTTGGAAGACATGATAGAGAAGAAAAAAATGGTTTTGCATGATCATTACAGTTTCCTAACAAAATTAAATGTGAATCAACATGATTCATGGATTATATATACAGTGGTATACAACATCAATAAAACTTTTAATAAAAAACTAAATCTTTGAACACATAAACCTTTAAGAAAAAAAAAGAACTATAGAAATTCTATAGAAAACAGAAAATAATACCAAAATCTTAGTAAAATTATATTTCTCTAAATCAAATGTATATGTACATCAAAGTTGAATAATTCGTTAGATGTCATTGTTCTTATTTTACCTAATAGTTTTTTAAAATTTATAAATAAAAATAGGATAAATTACACAATATATATTAAATTCTCTTATATAAATGAAAATTTCTATAAAGATATTATATTTTTAATAATTTTAAAAATAGTAACTAAAAAATTAAACCAAAATATTAATACTGACTTGCGTGTAGTGCAAGTTATATACTTAGTAGTGCAAGTTATATACTTAGTGAACTTTAAAGGCAAAGAAGAAGAAACTGTAAAAGCTTACTAAAAAAGTGAATATTTTTTCTTTTCAAATAAAAAGGGAAAAAATGTATCCGTGTGTAGACTTTTTGACACGTCTACTCAAATTATTCCCACTCTAATATCATAAAAGATGACTACTATACAAAACAAAATGATATCTTTTGGGTGCAAATCGGTATTAAAAATGTTGTATTGCACCAAAATTATATATGAAAATGTCCATTAAATTTTGTCTTCTTCTTCAACTATGCTTGACAAACACATCTTCTAAGAAGAATTAGGAATATCTTTTTTTTGCTGGTAACCAATTAGGAAATTCTTGAATTTTCATCACAAGAAAAATTAATTAAAAAACAGAATATGGATTGTATGGTTGATATTGCTTCAATAAGTTTTATTGGAGCAAACAAACAAAAGGCCAGAGAAAGACACAGGGAATAGAGAGAGAGAGGAATTAGGGTTTAGCTTTGGGTTTAAGAGAGGGTTTTAGATCTACCAGAAGCTCCTTAACATACTCTTATTATCAAACATTTTGATTTGTTTTTCTTATCATCACCAAAGAGAGACTTAACTCCAAAAAAGAAGAAGAAGAAGAATCAAAGAATCAGGTTCAGGAACCAACCAGCTTTAAAGCAATATCTATTATCACCTACCTCAAAAAGGAAAGTTAAAAAAAAAGTTACTTTTCATTTTCAGTTTTTTTCATTTATGTGCTTTAAGAAAAAAATGTTTGGACATGGGAGATGATGATGATATGGGTCTCTCTCACGTGTGGGGTTAATGAGATGATGAATTCAGATAATATACCCATTGGAAGAGAAGAAGGACAGCAAAAAGGAGAAATTTCTTTTAAACATTTTATATCTCAAAACTTTGTTTTGGGGAAGATGAGTGTTTGTTGTTAATTTTGTGTTCTTGGGATCATCAAGTGTTAAAAAATTGTATTTGTTTTTCCTTTCTTTTTTTCAGTTTGAGCTTTCAATTTCATAGTGTCTCCTTTAACACCCACAGCAAGTAGCAGCCAACATATGATAATTTCCTGGTAATTTTTTAATCTCTCCTTTTCTTTATTTCTCATTTTAAATTCTTGAATTCATGCAGAGAAATTTTATCTGAAAGTTCTAATTTTTTAAGTTCTAAAAACCCTTTTTACTTCTTTAACCAGGATTTTATTAACTTAATGTGAAATGGGAAAAGGGTTTACTGTTGTTTGTGTTTGAATCTGAAAAAGATCAAATCTTGTTTCAGATAAATTTGATCTGATCATAAGAAGAAGAAAGAAGACTATGGCAACTTATTACAAAAGCAGTGGCTCAAGTGACATTTACACCAGACCAAATCTAGCCGAATTTGTCCCTGGAAACGCAATGATCTACACGAATCCTGCGATTTCTTACTCGGAGACGTTTCCTGGAGAAGCCAACATTGTCTCAGCTTCAAAAGAGATTCAAGCTTCACAAATGCTGGAGATTCAAGATTTTGGTTCTTGGAGAGATCAAGAAGACACTGACAGAAACTGCTTGCCGGTGATGATGCGTCCCACCACAGGACAAGGACTGTCTTTAGGCCTCAGCTCGCAGATCGAGACATCGAGAGGCAATAACGACGAGTATGCAACACAAGTCGTTTCAGGGTTTACTCGAACCATACACGACTCAAATTATCTCAAGGCTGGTCAACAGCTTCTTGATGAAGCTGTTAATGTTAAGAAAGCTCTGAAACAGTTTCAGCCAGAGGGAGACAAGATTGATCAAAAGAAAGAGAAGAACCTTCAAGAATCGAGCAAGAATCCTGATATACCTCAAGGAGAGAGACAAGAACTACAGAGCAAGTTGTCGAAACTGTTATCCATATTAGAAAACATCTCTCCTCTATGCTCATAATGATTCGATCTCTTGGCAATAACATAAATGCTGCTTGTAAATATCATTAATGTTATAATGATAATATTAACATTACTACTAATATAGGTATATTAATATTACTTATAAATATTAATATGCCCATCAAAGAAATTAATTTAACATTTTATTGTTTCTAGGTCAAAAATTATTAAGTATAATTAAAACATTAAAAGTTAATTTAACAAATTATATCCAATAAAAAAAATAAATTCAATCTCACTGATCTAAATCAACATATTTATTAAATCAGAAAATGTTAATATGATTTAAAAATTTAAAAGTAAATATTTGTATGAATTATCAAGTATTACCTATAATGTTAACATTATATACTGTTAACAGTAACATTATATACTGTTAACATTAACATTAAAATATAATGTTAATATTGTTAATCATCATATAATATATAAAAGTTGAAGGCATAGTGCATTGAAGGTGTCCACATAAGATTGAAAAATTCGATCTGATTGGTCCACATCAGCATATTCATTAAATAAAAAATGTTAAATATAACTCGTTCAACAAATTAAAATTAATCCATCAGATTTAAATTATAAATTATAAATATATATTTGTATACATAGTTATTTAAAATTGCCAACTGTTAGTATTGGAAGTTCAATCCTCATGCCTTTGTTCAATACGATGCCAATCAAATTCAAATCTGTCAATTTTTCCTTTATTTGTGAGAAGCTTTTTTCTTGTTCACATCATGCATATTTACTTTTCTTTTAAATTGAAACACTAAATCGACAATATCACAGTTAATTTTGTCCAATGCGTTTTTGCTTACTATTTTCCTTTTGGATATAATTGTCGTTACTTGATACACAAGAATTTTCTAAATACGTTTCTGTTTTCCTTTTCAGTATTGATCAAAAGTCGAACACCATTACCAAGTGAAAACCACACATAAATGGAAATGGTTTCTTTTCCTTTTTTTCTAAAAAAAATTGCGGAAAAAGGAAATCGTGTCTCTCCAAAGTTCTAAACCAGTTCCTATATAAACTCACAAGATGCACTGATTGTAATCACAAATCATATAACCGTTCAAGAACTCTCAATCTCACATTCTAATCAAAAAGAAAAAAAAGTTGACAATGGAGAAGTTACTTGATGGACAAACTAATGGAGCGCTTAAGAAGACGAAGATCGTGTGTACTCTTGGACCCGCGTCTAGATCTGTTGAGATGATCGAGAAGCTTCTCAGAGCCGGTATGAACGTAGCCCGGTTCAATTTTTCCCATGGTTCTCACGAGTACCACCAAGAAACTCTTGACAACCTCAGAACCGCCATAGAGAACACTGGTATTCTCTGTGCCGTCATGCTTGACACAAAGGGTCCTGAGATACGAACTGGATTTCTCAAAGAAGGCAAATCGGTTCAGCTAACTAAAGATCGAGAGATCACAATCTCAACTGACTACACCATGAAAGGAGATTCAGACACAATCTCGATGAGCTACAAGAAGCTTGCCGAGGATCTCAAGCCAGGGGACGTGATTCTCTGTTCCGACGGCACAATCTCTCTAACCGTCTTGTCCCTTGACAAGAACCAAGGTCTTGTTCGTTGCCGGTGCGAGAACTCGGCGACTCTTGGAGAAAGAAAGAACGTTAACCTCCCTGGAGTTGTGGTTGATCTCCCGACGCTTACGGAGAAAGATGAGTTTGATATTCTGAAGTGGGGAGTTCCGAATAAGATCGATATCATCGCTCTCTCCTTTGTTCGTAAAGGATCTGATCTTGACAAAGTCAGGAACTTGCTTGGGCCGCACGCAAAGAGCATCATGCTTATGTCAAAGGTTGAGAATCAAGAAGGGGTGAGGAACTTCGACCAGATTTTGAACAACTCTGATGCGTTCATGGTGGCTAGAGGCGATTTGGGGATGGAGATTCCGACGGAGATGATATTTCTAGCTCAGAAGATGATGATCGAGAAGGCTAATGCACTCGGGAAACCAGTCGTCACAGCTACACAGATGCTTGAGTCCATGACCGTTTCTCCTCGTCCGACCAGAGCCGAAGCCACAGACGTTGCCAACGCTGTCCTCGACGGCACCGATTGCGTCATGCTCAGCGGAGAAACCGCCGCCGGAGCCCACCCTGAGACCGCCGTGCTAACCATGTCGAGAATCTGTAAAGTGGCAGAGTCTGCCATCGACCACGACGCCGTGCAGAAGAAAACCCTAAAGGCAGTTCCGTTGCCTCTGTCCCAAATCGAGAGGCTAGCCGCTTCCGCCGTTTCCACGGCCAGGATCCAGTGTGCCAAGGCCATTGTTGTCCTGACCAAGGGCGGCTACACAGCGGAGCTTGTGGCTAAATTCAGGCCGAGCGTTCCGATTCTGGCGGTGACTGTAGCGGATGATTGCAACTTGCCTTGCCCTGAATCGGTGGCGAGACGTGGCTTGATTTACCGTGGAATCATGCCGGTGATGGCGGCGAAGAGGGGTTCGGCGGAGGAGACAACTAGAGTCGCGATCGAGTTTGCAAAAGAGAAGAACATCTGCAAGGCTGGAGATTCGATTGTCTTTTTACACAGCATCGTTGCTTCCTCTCTTCTCCAGATCCTGACCGTCGAGTAGTAATTTAATTTTTCAAGTTTTTGCTCACTTGTCATTTACAGTCTTAATTCTTCTGCTTAACAAAATTTTGCATCCTCTCTATAACAAGACCAATATATGAATGTTTTGATAAACTTCACTCTCTTAAAACAACACAATGATGGACGCTCAAATACAATTTAAAAGAAGAGAACCAATTAAAAAATAGTCTCATATGTTATGGTTCTATAGACGTGATAAAAAAGAATAGCTGACACTTGTCTGAAACACAGACATCACGTCAAACAAATCGAATGTAACTATCCCAGAATTAATAAAACTCAAACTCAAACGCTACATTGCGACACATCTCAAATACCTTGAACAAGAAGAAAACCATCATCAAGGTTTTGGTACTCCATTAAAGGTTTATGTCATTCAAGTGAAACTGATAATCAACCATATTACTAAGTTTCAAAACTCTTGAGACATATACATGAAAGGAAGATGACAAGTTACAAAACTCTTGTGTCTTTTTTGGTCAATTAAGTTTCAGAACTCTATGGCAAATACATTAATAAGTTCCAGAACTCTTGAAAACTAACATAGCTTCAACTTCATCGCCTGATGTTCATAATTATTGCTATCAGAAATACAAAGTTATTCACAGAAACCAGAATTATCAATTGCCAAATCAATCTCAAGATGATGATAACAAAAACAAAACTCCAACTTTATGAATCCACGATTTATAACCACTCTTATACGAATCCGAATCCGAGAAAAGCCATAACAGAAGAAACTAGAGGTAGAAGTACTCATCATGGAGTATCTAGTTTATATAGAAATTCTGCATCGTGAAACCGCTACGCGCGAGTTATAATTAACAACTCACATAGTCTCTCCTATTGTGGTCAAAAGCCAAAAACAAAATGTGCTGAATATAAATGGTAATGAATCTGTTGGCTCTGTTAAATAGTGAACAAATTTAAATGTGTCATGTCTAATGAATCTAGGTATATAAGTCGCATTACGTGTAAGTCTGTATTAATGTTTTGATTTATTTTTTTAGCTATTATTTTCAAAATTATTAAAAATTATATATATTTATAAAAATTTTCATTTATATAAGATAATTTAATATATAATATGTAATTTATCCTATTTTTATTTATTAATTTTAAAAAACTATTAGGTAAAATAATAACAATGACATCTATCGAATTATCCAACTTTGACGTACATATACATTTGATTTAGAGAAATATAATTTAAAAGAAATTTCACTACGCGCGAGTTATATTTTTTAGTATAATATATAAAAGTTGAAGGCATAGTGCATTGAGGGCACCACATGGGATTCAAAAACTCAATCTGATTGATCCACATCAGCATATTCATTAAAAAAATGTTAAGCATGATTAGGACGGAAAAACTTAATTTAATTGGTCCACATAAGCTTTTAAATCAAACAAAAATTATTAAATATAATAAAATATTAAAATTTAATTTAACATATTATGTCTAAAAAAAAGTAAATTCAATCGGATTGATCTAAATCAACATATTTATTAAATCAGAAAATGTTAATATAGTTTAAAATTTTAAAAGTTAAATAAAAAATTAACAATTAACAATACATGTATAAAAAAGTAACCATTATCAATTATCAATTAAAAAAAAATCTACAACAATTCGATTTAATAATTAAAATAATAAAAACTGAATAAAAATATAACATAAAACTCTTGGAAGACATGATGAAGAAAAGAAAAATGGTTTTTCATGATCATTACAGCTTCCTAATAAAATTAAATGCGAATCAACATGAATCATGGATTATATATACAGTGGTACACAACATCAATAAAACTTTTAATAAAAAACTAAATATTTGAACACATAAACCTTCAAGAAAAAAAGCTATAGAAATTTTATGGAAAACAGAAAATAATACTAAAATCTTCGCAAGATTAAATTTCTCTAAATCAAATGTATATGTACTTCAAAGTTGGATAATTCGATACGTAAACAAATAACAATTAACAAGTATGAAGGATATAAATTTACCAGCACATATAATCTGTTTAAATGAAGGATATTACAATGAGAGTGATATCGTTTATAACTCAACAGAAATTCTCTTATATAAATGAAAATTTATATAAATATATATAATTTTTAATAATTTTAAAAATATATGACGGATTAATGCAATTTTAATTATATATTTATATCTAGGTATATAATTTGCGCTACGCGCGAGTCTGTATTAATATTTTAGTTTATTTTTTTAGTTATTATCTTTAAAATTAATAAAAATTATATATATTTATGTTAATTTTCATTTATATAAGAGAATTTAATATATAATGTGTAATTTATCCTATTTAAATATATAACACATTAACACATTTAAATATTTTTATTATATTTAAAATGGATAAATTAACGATATTTAATGTACACA